ATTTTATGCAGATGACACCGTTCTTCTCGCTGAATCGAAATATTATTTGCAAGAAGTTCTAGTTGAACTCGTCAACATTGGTCAGGAATATGACAATGAAATGAACCTCAAGAAAACAAAATCAATGAAATTAGTATTTCCAGGTTCTGACATGGAACCGATCGACCTGAAGCTTGGAGGACGTCTGGTCGAAGATGTTAGACTCTTCACATATCTTGGCGTGAATCTTAGTTCAGATCTGCCAGGTCTCATGGAAGTTAAATGCCGTATTGCCATAGCCAGGGAGAAGTTCTTCGAGCGGAAAGACCTATTCGAAATTGAAAATATTCAGCGTATTGATCTGGAGCATTATAAGATACGGATCGGAGATATGAACCATCACTAAAACTATCAGAGACCACATAAAGGCTTTTTAGATGTGGTGTTATCGGCGAATATTAAAAGTACCATACACTGCTCATGTAACAAATTCTGCGGTATTGAAACGCGTGAGTCTAGAACATGCCAACCTTTTGACAACAAAACAAAAGAGAAGAATGATGTATATAGGACACGTACTCCGAGGATCATCAGGCAGCGAATTGAGAGATATCCTAATTGAACAAGTCCAACAGAAGAATGTAGGCAAAGGACGAAGGAAAACTTTCTGGTTTGACGAGGACTGGAGTTTGATCGAGAACAACGAAAATAAGAATAACAAACTGACGTTACTAATCAGAAGGGCGCAAAAACGTCGTTTATGGAAGCAGTTTATCGACAGTTACTGTTTCGTTGAACCAACCCTCACCAAAGAGGATGGTGCAAGCTGTTGAACTTACAGATTCATATAAAAGAGTAATTGTGTGTTGTACACAAAAAAAGTTTTGATAACTTTTAAAAGGTAAATAATTTCGAGATTTGTAATTTTAATGTCCTGTTTCTTAAGTGTTTTTCCTGTTATGGGTATTTTTGTGTCATGCATAAGCCAACCACAATAAAAAATTATAAATAAAATTTAAGGCTTTTAATTAGCCATTGGTTACAAAAATTGTTTCTTCGTGCAATCGTGTAGTGTCATTGTTAGACACGTCTTCAGGAATTACATTGCAGATTGTCAGTACGATTAATAATCAAATTTTGAAAAAAAAACTATAAGAAAGTAGAAAAAGGAGAATAAGTAAACTAGAAAAAGGAGAACAGTTTAACTATTATAAGAAACTGTAACAATTAAACAAGTATTATCTTTTTTACTAGGAAATCAAATTGATATCTACTGTGTTATGCTGGTTCACAAAAGCATTGATAATTTGAGAGTATTGAGAGCTCGTATTTTCAATTGTGATTGCTCCTCCATTGAAACCGGCAAGCTTTTTATAATAAAGAATCAATTTCGATTGATCGGGGTAAATATAAATTGTGTTCACACTAGCAAGTACATGGTCGACTTCAATTAGGTGGGATGTTGTAATGAGCACAAAAATAATTTCCATTGCTAGGCAGAACCTTGTCCGAAGCAGAAGAATAATTCATATTTTGAGTATTTCTCGATATATCTCAAGTTCGTCAGCTATTAAGTTTAGCTTATGAATGGTAGCTATAGCAAACATTATGCTTATTTTAAAGTAAAAAAAGAAATAAGTGAAGTGATGACAAATAATTTCTAAAAACTAACACGGATTTTTTGTCTGAGGATAAATTAATTAAATTTTTTCTGAAATCTCCAAAGGTTCTGAAACTGGTTTTACTAGGTCTCACTTATCTGTGATTACATCAAAATTAACCAAATTGATAGATATTTGAGCAAATTGAGAGGTAAATATTCTTAATGCACAATTATATCCCATAAGTTTTTACATGCTAGATGATGACTTGCATGCGTGTCTTAGTTCTTTGGCTGAAAAATTACGAAATTAACCAAATTTTTGAGTAGCGAGTATCATTCGAGTCTTGAAGGCTAAGCATAGCCACCTTTTTTTTCGTTTGCTTTATTTAAATGGTATCATTAATGAGAAGCTATATATAGCACCAACAATGTTGTCGCAGATTTACGGCGGGTTGGGTCAAAACTTTGGTTTGCCCGTTTTTGTAAATGAATTGTTCTTACAATGAAGCAATTTTAAGAACTTCGGGAGATGAGATTTCTATTTAAATGTGATTCTGCTAGTGTGTTTTTTGGAACTTAGTGTCTAACGAATTCAAAATCAACCTATCAGTTCCTCTATGTGCACTAAGAGGATTCCGAGGGCAAGAAATCTGTTCGCTTTAAATGGCTTGCTACAAGTTTACATTGGCTAGTTGACCGCTTCGAATGCATTTTTTCCACTAACTTTTGTGCTGTTTTTCAGTCATAAAATCGCCTTTGTTTGAAGTGAAATTGACTCAAAACTTAATTCAGTTTAAACTCTTGACCTTCCGCAGTTTATCATTGCTTTATTGATTGCAAATCAAAGATAATAAGCTAGCGATACAGGTTCCGTTGAATGAATTATGTTCCATAAAGGTTCAATAGGAAACTTATTTTTTGTTTCATTTTGCAGGTGTACACTCTCAACAAATTTGAACTGTTTCAGGAAGTTATAGAAAAAATCACACACAGAAACGCAGGAGAAAGAATTGTTTGGAGTTTTTTAAAAGTATACAATCACTCGCATGGTCATCATATATCTTAAATTAAAAATTAGTAACATCAACATCAAAAATCAACATATTTGAAAAACATTTTTTCTGTTTCTTCTTTAATCATAAAAGTGTTTTCGACCGTATTTTTTCTTTCAAATGTTTTGCCTATTGATTCTTTTGATAAAGTTTTTTTTGACTCTATAAGAATCTTATGCATAACAGGATTTTTTTTCGTGTCTCAAAATATAAAGTTGTATAAGCTTTTTCTCTATGAAAGTTCATTCCCTCATTCATTGGGAGGCAGTACCTAAAAGAGAACCGAATTTTGCTCATTTTCTGTTATCATATGCGTCGTGATTCGAACCTACGACTGCTGGTCGAATGCCTAGTAAAAATAATAGTTCTCTCTACTATATTTAAAAAATCTCTTGCTTCTTCATTCGCGTCTAAGCCTGTACTGTTTTTGAGAGCTAAGTCTGGATATGCGATTGTTCTTGCCATTTTTTGTTGTTTTTTGTTTTTTTTTTGTTTTTTTTTCAGCTTTTTTTTGTTCTTGATAGTATCTTAACAGCATGAAACTATTGTTAAATCGTATTTAGTTTTAAATGGTATCGACATACTAGTAACAATTTAGAAAGAAATTGAGAACGAAGCAATTAACCGTTCTTCTGGTATATATTATGTTGTTTGTAAGGTTTACTTGTTGGAGAATTGTATCTATTTTGGGAGTGTATCCTCGAAAAAGGACACATAGTTCGTGTTTATCTTCGTAAGTGTGTTTCGATAAAATGATGGTATGGTCTTGTTTAGTGTTAGTAATGTACCAAAGAAAATTAGTAATTTTCACTTCCTACTTTAGGTTGTATTTTAAAGATTAAAAATCGATTAAAGAATTTGTTAATATTAATTTTTCTCGATGTCAGAAATTTTTACAATTTTATTTAAGGCTTTTCTACTGTGATTAAGTTGAAAATTTGAAAGAAAATTTGCTTAGTTTTATCAATTTTCAATTTTTCATTAATAAATGGTGACTAAATTGATAGAAATTGGTTTATTCTCACCTAAAAGGTGATTTAACCTACCTTAACTGTGATTATTTTGACACTTTTTAGTTTGTTTCAAACATTTTTTTAAATATCGTAGAGGAAATCAATATGATCGAATTTTGATAATTTTTAAATTTTTACCAGTTGTTAGTAGAAATAATTTTCAATTTACTTCTCGATTTTGAGTTCACACTGACTAGTTTATAGATGAATTTCCAGATAAAATTGAGTTTTGTTTATCTTAGTTAGGCTTATGTGGACCATTTATTTTGATGAATTGGAGTTGTTTTTATCCTAAATGGCTTATTTTGATCAAAGTTTTAAACTTTAGGTAAATTTGAATTTTAGGTATCTCTATTGGGCTTATTTTGGGTAAAAATTAGATTACTTCCTAGTTTACCTAAATTAGACAGTTTCACTTTAGAAAAAACTATGAAGATTTTTATTTTAATACTGAGTTAAGCTAGCTTAAATGGCTCTATTTGGGTCACAATTGGGTTACTTTTAGGTTAATTTGAAGTTAACTTTTCTGAATTGGGCTTATTTGGACCAAAACTGGGTGAAATTTAGAATAAATTTTAGTTTACGTAGCTTAAAAGGCTTCATGTTAATAAAAATTAGGGGAATTTTAGAATAATGCTGAATTAAACGAGCTTACATGGCTCTATTTGAGCCAAAATTGGAAAATTTTTGTTTTAAATTGGAGTTTACTTAATTTAATTGTGCTTAATTGTACCAGAAATGGGCAAAAATTTGTTACAAGGGAAGCTTAATTAGTTTAATCGAAAATGCTTTGACCAAAAACGGGCAAAACTTTGTTAAAATGGGAGTTTATCTGGCTTAATTGCACCTATTCTGATATAATTTGGCCAAATTTTTTTAATATGGAAGTTTATCTAACTTAATCCGACTTATTTTAACTAAATTTGTGGAGTTTTTAGTTATTTTTTTTCTTAAATAGCTTATCTGTGTGCTTATTGTAATTTTTACCTAATTTTAGCATAGTTTCAGTGAGCTTCCATCAACTTGGTTGTCGAAAAAAAAATGTCAGAAAAAAACACCTTATAGTTTCTTACCTAGTGAGCGTAGACCGTTTCTTTGCTATTTTTGACCAAAATTTCCTTCCCTGGCGAGATAATTAAGTTTAGAGTTAAGTTAAGTTAGGTTAGAAGGTAAGCCACGCACAAGGGTGAAAATAATATAAAGCACAATTGCACAATGAAGAATTGAGAATGAATCCCAATGTAGCACAGGCTTGATTGTGTATATGCTGGGAGAAATCAATTTATCAATCATTTAGAGTACACTCATATTGCATACAGGACCTCTTACCCCTTTTTAAGAATGAAATGAAGTATTTAATAAGTTTTTCTATTAATTTCGGAATGTATGAAGAAAGAATAAAACTGGAAATAGCTAGGTTAACATATGTTAGTAGAGCTATTTTAGGTATATATATTTTGGTATATATTAGTTATAATAATAATGAGTTAAACTGCCATGAGATAGTGTTAGCAGAGAGCTGTAAAAGACTGAAGCGCAAAACAGAAGATATTGATAAACTTAACTCTATCGAGGAGTATCTGACAATAGGACGGTCTATTAGATTGCGGGCCCTAAAGATAGATAGCCTCTGTCTCTAGCTTTTTGAAGTGAGAAACTGACTAACAGAAACTCACTTTCCTAATATTTGCAATAACTACAATTAATTAGAACTATATACATTTTAAGGGGTAGTTCTCTTCACCAGCTTTACTAAAAGATACTTGAGAGTCGATTGTTAGATCCCTCTGTTTCAATTAGTAACAAAAATTATAAGTCTCAGTTAAAATAAATAATAGATCATAGTCGATCTGGTCCTAGAGTTAAAATGATTTTTTATAAAAATTGATAAATTAAAAAGGATGATTAATTAAGTATAAATGAGTTATAAATGGATGAACAATTGTCTTAAATACCAAAATAGGTTTGGGGTGTTTAGGTTAAGTTATATTGACTTACGTTGAAGGAAAACATTAGAATCTTACCTCTTTCTGTTCTGGAATGTTATATTTTTCAAAAGTATTTTTTGTTTAAAGAAAAATTAGTAATTAGGAAAAAGGAAAAAAGTTCTACTCGACTGAGCGAGTGGGGGACAAAAATTGTGAAGATTCAAGTTGATTTATTTCTCAGCTCTTAGGCTGAGACAAAACTGCACCTGCAGTCTAGGCTTCAAACTTCATTTTCCCCCTTTTCTTCATACTCTTGATGAAATTGAAATTTGCAACTTATTGATTTTTTAGCATTAAAAATCAATAATTTAAAAGATAAGGGCAATTTATCAGTGTTGCACTTAATTGTTACTTAATTAAAAAATCAAAGTTTTTTGTTAGGATCGCAAAGGACTGGGGGCTTAGTGTCTGCTTTTTAAGGCAAGACAGTAAATCAGTCCGCCTAACTGGCGACATTCTTGTTTCCAATATCGAGGCTAAAAGCAGCAGAAAAATGTGAGTCCGATCTTGAAAGAATTATTCAAATCGGAGAGGTATTTTAAATGTTAGAAAACTAAGTTAAACCTTAAGTTAGTGTAGTATTTGCAATACTACATTTTGCTCAACTCATTTTGCGTGATTGTAACCCTCGCTTGATTTTGCGCGGCTCGAGTCTCGGTACAAATTAGGGTTAATTGGTCGCGCAATGGCCATTTACGCGACCCGTATTGGTCACGACATAAATTGAGGACCTCCTCAAAGGTAGTTGGGGGAGAAATTTCTTTTTTATCAAATTTCTGATTGGTTAAGTCTAGTGCTGTGACAACACAGGGCCAGTTTTGTAAACCAAAGAAGTAAAATTAGGGGATGTGCAAAAACTGTGAAGCTGAAAGGGAACTTATCTGCGTGAACACCAGGCCGACAAAAAAGTTCAGACAGACCATAGTTGAAGTTATTCAGTCTGCAAAAAATACATATCGAGTGGAAGCGAACTCTCGTGCTTTCGTCTCAAGCATGGTTGTTCAGCATCTTGGAAAAAAGCTCAACTATCAAAAAAACTTGCCAACAAAGTATTAAAAAACAGTTCCACGCCAGTTACAAACCTTATTATAGTAGTGACCAGCAGCTTTTCCATTTACTAAAAAAACTTTTATTTGATTTTCATTTTAAATTATGGCGTTTTCTCCCAAAAAGACAAGAATCAATAACTTTCTAAAAAGGATACCGGCTGTTAGTGTTGCGATATCTCACAGATAAGCTGCATCAGGGGATTATTTAATATAATTGAAATTTTTATTTTCACTTAGTCTTAAAAATTTTTGTGTACTGCTTAATAAAAAACTTGAAATTTGAGTGCTTGTTTTTTGACAGAACAAAGTTTTTCAAATCATATAAAAATAATGAAATTTTATATTCACAAAAAAAGTAAGTTTTAGTTCATTAGTATGAATATCTCAATCTTGATTAGCTTTTAGACAAAAAAGTTCAAATTTTGAGAGAGACGTTTGGAGATGCAAAAAGGTGATTTGGCGACTAAAAAGATTTTTTTTCTAACATGAAAATCAGAAGTTTTATTTTGCAAAAAGCTTGCAAAAAGTTTTGTAGCCATGCAAAAAGTGATTGTGATCAGTATTTATTAAAATTCTATCATAAGCGCTTTTCATGTATGAAATTGTATGATAAGCATTTGTTGTATGAAGGTCAACTCGGGTTAAAGGAAGATTACCAATGACACAACACATTTTTCGCTTTCGAAGGATTGCCACCTTGCTCACATTGACAGCTATTTGTTAATGAAATCTCAATTCAATTCTCGAGCAATTTTCACTATAGTTTAGCTTTTATTAGTTGTCATTAAATAAATTCATCGCCTTTTACCAGAAAAGAACATGTTGGAATTAAGTGAAAAAAATTGGAGAAGATAGACACTTTAATCGTTACGTCCACCAGCGGATTTAAGTGGAGGGGGTGTAAAGGGCAGGGGGCATACGCTTTTTTTTCAGGGATTCGACCCTCTGCCGACCCAAAGGAGGGTTACGTTTGTACTAATTGAGATATCCATTTTTGACTAACGGGCCCTATTATTTTTCTGAAAGGCGCCTTGGGTGGCAAAATTGACTAACTTTAGAGGGGAAGCGCGCGCCAAAAAAACGCAATTTTTTTGGTCAAAAATTTCCAAAAAGTGCCTAAAAACGTTTTTTTGGCCTGTTTTTTCAAAATTTTGCTTGCGGCGCAGAAAATTTCGCCAAAACAGGGTCTTTTTAGTGCTTGGGGAGATTTCAGAAAATGGTTTTAGCCAACCTAAAAAAAAGGTCGAAAATTTTTTTTGAAAATCCCCCGTGAAAATACTAGATTCGCCCCTGGTTTCGTCTTCTATTTTTTAAATTTTGAATATCTTCACTTCAACCATTGCATTCGGGCCAATCTGTACTGTTTCCTCGATTTGAGCTCTAAGTTCGTTTTCTCGCTAGATAATAGTCATTTAGTACAAATCTCCATTTTGTGTTCACACACATTAGTCAATTGTTTTGTTTTTTACTGAACTTTTCCAACGGTATCTAACCTACCACCACTATCGCTATGAAGAAACTAAGCTCAATGTATGTTTCGACTGCTCCTGGCTCATAAAATATAAGATGAAAATTCCATTTCGATAATGAGTTTTTGATAGAGTCTTGATATTGTTCTTGACCTTCGAAGTCGGCTTATAAAATGGAAACATCGAACCATGGGAAGCGAGCTTGCCTAAGCACTCAGAATCTTGAAGTTTCCTATTTTTTCGTTTTAGACCATTTTTTTCAAGCATCGAATCGCACGTAATACTACTCAAACAATCAAACAACACAAAGATTTGCATGGTTAAGCGCTCTAGAAAGTTTTGCTGCCAGCACTTGAAAAAAAACATAGAAAATTAAAGTGTAGAGGCCTTTTGAAGCGCGCTTGCCGAATAACGCAGAGTGAATGCAGGCTAAAATGACTCATCAGGTTAATATGACACAGGGGAACACGTGGCAGACGAACTATTCTATATTGCTAGAAAATGAAGAAAAGTGTCGTTCAGTTGTTTACATTGTGTTTTCTATATCATAATTTCATTGGCTGTCGTTCCTCATTCTCTGTTTGCGGCCTAGTCGTAGTCGCCAGCAATGGTATTGCTGGGGTGTCCATCTTCGTCCACCACCACCCAGATGCCCTTGTCCTCCTCCATTGGGTCATTGTACTCCGGCACCTATCAACATGCATGAAATTTAATTGCAGTATCTCTCATTCATTTGTAGCCGAGATGAATTGATACAGCGAATCTAAAAGAACAACACGCTCATAAATGAATAGAGCAAAAACTATCTCAAAAACTTACCTTGAACATTTTTTTTTGGATGCGAGAACTCCTATCAGATACAGTAGACATTGAGAGGGATGAAAGTTTGGTACCTTATGGTGGGTTGCTAGGTACTCCTCAATCTCGTCTTCAATCAACTCCTCTGGGTAGATGCTGCACACCCACTGCAACATGATGTTCTGCTTGAACACAGGGTCTACCAGGAACATGGCCAGTCGCTCCCCACCCTCGTAGCCCCACAGCATCTACTCATATACATTGGAAACATTACGATGAATTTTTACTTTTCGCTTTTAAATCCTATACAAATTACTTTCCAGAAAACACCGAAATTGGAAATTAAAATTTAGTTTTAAGTACCTTGGCAGATCAACACAAAATATATATATATTGTTGAGTAATCTATATTTATCTGCGCAAAATAACTGGTTTTTAAGGTGAACTGAAGCTCATTTCTACTATGAATGTCTATTTTTGAAACAGACCAGACGAAATGATTGAATCGAAGAAGTTAGATGTGTTTGATTTGTGATATTTTAGAGGCACCCATACCGACGAGATGACTTCTCTGAGGGAGCGTTGTGCAGTGGTGTGTCCGATGTAGACTATCTCGATGGGGCCAGAGGAGCCGCCCATTTGGTGTCCTATCTTGAACATGCCCGCACAGTAGGGCAGTCTATGTCTCGCACTCACAATCCACTCCCACTCCCCAAACCATTCCTTCACTCCATCCTCTACTGCATCGCTGCGACAAAAACAGAACAAACAAGAAAATCTAGTTGCTGCGCAAGTAGCACAGAATGTTCCGACCATAGTCCTAGCAAATGGAAAAAAGTGCAAATTGGTGAGCTGTGATAAAAAAACCTGAACGAAAAATATAAATTAAGCAAATGCGACAGCCATAGTCAAAGTGGCCAATTGGAATTTTTGAATTTTTGAAGTTTTTGATTCCCAAAATGGAGCAAAAAAAACTTTAAAAACAAAATTCAGTCCAGTAAATCTAAGTTTTCACGGCTTGATTTTATTAGCTCGAAATTAAGCCAGAAATAAAAATTTCAAACCAATTTTTCTCAACCATGAGATAAATTTTTCAAAATGCTTAATGTAGTTCGAATTAAGACTGAAGGGGCTTAAATATGGCATATCACTCGAATATTCCGATGAATATTTGTGGTACGTAATTTTGCGGGAAATCAAAAAGCAAAAAAAAAAAAAATTAACCGAATACAAAGCTCCTCCACATTTTTCAAATGGTCGGAACAACAACAAACAACAAAATGCAGAATCTAGCATTGTCAGTTCTGCTCCAAATAGGCTCAAAATAACAAACAACAGTTAGATCATTCGAGTCTTCTCACTTAAAGTTCAAAAAAAGCTCGAAAACAGCGAACATTAGAAGACGCCTTTCGGGTGTGTTAGATGTCCAATTAGGCTTAAAATAACAAACAACCTCAGCTCCAAAACATGCTCAAAAACTACAAAAAAAAACAAAATAGATAATTCAAGTATTGTTAGTGCTACTCCCAAATAAGCTCATCAAAACAAATCATCGCATACACAAACAAAACACAAGCAAAAAGCACTTCGCATACACAAGCAAAAATATAACCGATAAACGCTACTGCGAAACGATGAATGAGTTAAAATTTGAGTCTACAAAATTTGTTAAGTGACGCACCGCCAGTTATAGTTATGAGTCTACATAATTTTTAAGTGCTGCAAGCCAATTATGACGCATTAGCAGTAACAGTCAATTTGAGAAAAAAAAGGAACTTATCAACTAACATGCCTCAATTTATAGAGCAGGCGCATTATAGCTAGTATACGAAAAAATTCATTAAAAACATCCGACTCGGCCCAGGTTCCAACCTTCTTATTTTGTTGCTGGTCTCATTCCCTACCTATACGCTACATATCTATGATAACTTGAAGCTAAAGTTCTATTTGTAATATAATAGTCTGTGTTAATCTCCTTAGCATTGGCTGTGCTTATTAGCTGGTTATTGATCAATATGAACGTTTTCAAAATGAACACATTTTGTCGCATCCATATTTGCGTCGCAACAAAATTTGCGACATAGGTTGGAAAAAAAAGAAAGTTTATTCTTTAACACAAGTTTGCTTGTGTAAGCAAATAACAACAAAACAGATTATAACTTTTTGTTAATTAAACTCCCAGATAGGCTAGCCACAATGAAGTGTAAGCCAAAACAACAATATATTTAAAAACAGAAACTATCAAAAATATCAATAAATAAACAGATAAAATCAACTTATAAAGAAGGATAGAATAATTGAAAAAGCAAAAAATTGTCAGTTGTCAAATTTTGCTAAACATAATCGCATGGTGCCACTTTCATTTACACCGGTATGGAAAAATGAAAAATAGCAAAAATGGAAACGGATAATCGCAACAATTTCATCGAAACAAAATGAAAAAACTACAATTACTTAAACATTTCCGGAAGCAGAACAAGTTCGATAAAAAGTAGAACAAAAAATTCACCAAAAATAAGTCATGCAACAAAAATATTTGGCTTTCAATATTGAGCCTTAATATAAACGCGTATAAATTAAGAGGCTCAACATTCTTTAGCCCCATCAAAAATCAAATTCAGCCAAAAAACTCGCATGAAAATGAAAAAATACAAAAACTGTCTGCTTTTTAGTTATAGTTATAAAAAAAGTTTTGTGAAAAGATTCATAGCAACAAAAAATTTTAAGGTCTAACGTTTCGACCCTGGCTGACTACCATTTCGAACCTACATGATTTGGGCTTTCACTTGACCCATATAGTCGAGAACCATAAGTCGACCACATCAACCTAGGAATTCGAGAAACCAATGGAACGCCTATTTAACAGTCGTGATAATGTATAGGCAAAAAAAAACATTCAAAAGTTTTGTCGGTTGGTCTCGAAATTGCACTTTACTCAAACAGGTTTATGAAAAACAAAATAAAGAAAACTCGGGTTACTGTGCAAGTGACTCAGAATGTTCCGACAGTAGTCTTAAAAAACACAATTAGTTTCGTTTTCTCTGTGTGGTGTGATTAACGGATCTGAACAAAAAACTAGAACGCAGACATATTCAAATTGCATTGTAAAATAGACAAACTGGAAAACAATTTTTGTATAAAAATTACTAGAGCAACGAAAAAGTCAAAAATTTTCTTTTTGTATTAGGAAATTTTTTTAATTTTTTTTGCAGAAATTTTCGAATTTTTGATTTCCAAAATGGCGCTGAAAAAACCCAAAACAAGGTCTACCTGAGTAAAAGTAAGTTTTTACGGCTTTAATTACGCATAAATAAGCTATTGTAAGCCTGCTTGCTCGTTTTATTCGCTCGAATTTGGACTGAAAATCAAAAATTTAAAATCCGTTTTTCTCATTACTGGGATACCTTTTTGAAACTTTTTAAAAGTCGATCGAATCACCACTGAAAGGGCTTTATATATCACTCAAACCAGTCCGATGATTATTTGTGCTAACTGATTTTGCAAAAAAAGGAAAACTAACACACACCCTAATACAAATTTCCTACCCATTTTCAATGGTCGGAGGAATAAAACAATTTAGTCTGGGCGCAAATGATTTTTCAGTTCAGGTCTCGAGAAAATATAATCAAAAAATGCGCAGAAGTCACTAAACAAGTTGGCAAAAAACTTAGCACTCAAATTGCAAGCCGGACATAATTTGGTTACCCATTCTATGCCGCTTTGATTAAAACTTTAGAATGGTTACAGAAAAACTTTAAAATGCCAATGATGGAAAAGTTCAAACAATTTCAGTATTCAACTTACAAGTATTCGTTGAGCTTGTGTGGCTTGTAGGAGGCCATTTGAACAAACCGATTTTGTAACTGCTGCGAATTTATTATAACTATAAAACACTCGGTTCAATTTTGTTTATGGTAAACCAATATGGCTTCTCAGCCAAAAAACTGTCAATAAAATAAAATCATACAAGGTTCTTCCTCCAAATGTGACAAAGTTTCCAAGTTAAAGCAAGCAGCATAAACGCAACAAGCAGCTCACTGTTGAGGAAAAGATACACAGAAAGAGGACATATGTCAAAATCAGGTGGCGCGTAATTTGTTTTTATTAAAAAATTCGAAGCTTTTGTGACGTAAACCAACTTGGTTCTGCTTTTCTCAAGAGCTATAATTTTTTGGGGAAATTTTTTAGAATAAAGGAATTCAAATTTTAAGTGGTTCTAGAAAAGAAAGTAAAAAACTGATTATTTATTAATTAAGTTACAAAAGAGGACTTTCGAAGCTGAAGTTTCGCATTCTTTTTATTCATTTGCAAGCCGTTGCGATAGAAAATCTGTCTTGTAAGCAGAAGTTTTTCTGGTGCCAGATATTTTTGCTGCCTACAGAAATTTAGTTTAACCAGGACAGGATTTATTAATAAAAAAGTCAGTTGCCGTGTGTTTATGAGTAAAAAGTAGCCAGCTAAGTAGCCAGTTGTCTACACTGTTCGTAAAGTCGCAGGAGGCTTTGCTCCGAACTTGTTCAGGTGATGTGGACTGTGGTCAATTGAGTGAGAGGATGGAACTCTTTTGTTCACATCAGTTTTCTATTCAGTTTGAAAGCGGGATTGAAAATTAGATTTTACCACTGGGACGATAATAATAATACGATGATTTTGTTGGCATCACATCCACACTGGATTGCATTGCACGGAAACAATTTGCAAATGATTTGGCCAACTGACCAACTGATCCCCCATCATTAAACAACCTAATTCAAATAACGTCGATTTTCACACACAATTCACCACATGCCCCGCAGAATACCTTACAAAAATCGGTTGGACCTATTGCATTACCCAATACCAAAACTGTCATATTTATTTATTCCTTTTATTCTCGACTGATCGATGATGATTATTGTGAAACTTGTAAAACTTCACAGAATAATTGAATAGCCAAAAATTCAAAAGATAGATTACGGCTAAGAAAAGCAATCAGCTTTTTATCGAGTTTATGTGCTATTTTTTCTGTAATTTTTTTTGAGCACTTGCAGTTTATGCTAGCAGCATAATCATCTTCAAAATGATACTCCAAATAGTAGACAAATTGAATAAAAGAGAGAGAGAGAGAGAGAGAGAGAGAGAGAGCGAGGAGTATGGGGGGGGGGGGGGTGGATGGTTGGTTGTGATGAGACGGTAGATGATCTGGGATGGAGTTTTTGATTGATGATCCCACCGGGAGAGACAAAGAGAGAGAAAAAGAAACAGACTAGCTCAGACTTCAGAACAGCACACCTGCACTTTTCCTCGCAACACACCATATGCACAGTCTCATCACGTGATCAACGCATCAACGGAACAAAATAATCAATCATCTAACATCAAGTAAAAATGAAAAAAAAAAATAATACATCAAATGCGGCTTCTATCTTTTTGAGATCATATGTCACAATACTAACTGATCACAGCAAAAACCTTTGCAAAAAATGCTTTTCTCGTTTTCCCCCGAAATTACTCGAGTTTTTCAGGTAAAAATATCCCAATTGTGAGCAAGTAAATACGGCAACAACGTTTCGGTAAAAAACAGCGGTCTAAATTTTCTATTTTCAAACCATTTGTTTCGTTGAACATGTAACAATAAACTAGATAAACTAAGTTTCATTTGAAATGAAAAAAAGAAGAGTGCTAAGTTGCTCAGCACAATTTCCGAATGCAGTTATTAGTGCTGGATAACTAAAACTAAACGCAGTTTTTTCCAAGACAGAGGCTGAACGAGTTTCGCAACACTTCCAATACCGCCTAAAAATAGCATCCAAAAGGAAAGGAAAAGAAACGAAAAGACAAGAAACGAAAAGAGAGCCACTAAGTCAAAAAAAACGGAAAGTTTTTGATAAAACCATAAATAAAAATTTCAAAAAGTTTTTACCTATGCGAAAAACATGTCAAGGAACACACTCTAAAGCGTTCAATAAAAATTCAACCGGGTGGTTTAATTTCAAAAACCACCGGGTGGTAAGAGAGCCGACAAAACTTGAGTAAAATTCCCGTAGAACCGCAATCAAAATTGTTAACAAGGAAAAAACGCTGAACTATAATCTCTATTCTAAGACTTTTAGCATTTTTTGCGCTCCGCAGGGAGGCAAATAAGTTATTTTTCTTTTGAAACGACCCAAAAACTGGTTCATCAGGCCGATGAAACTTAATTCGGAATCATTTAAGCCTATTAAAGTTTTTCAGCGAAAAAAACAAACAAACAAAAATATAGGATGTAAAAATTAGTAAAATTACAAACAGCAGAAGTAAATCAAAACACTAAATTTCACTACAAAAAAGTACAGCAAAAAAATTATCTGCAAATGTGGCATTTAAGAGACAAAAATAAGAAGAACTAACAGGCCATAGGCCGGCAATTTGTTTTGAAACGAAATGGGTTCCGTTTGAAAAAAAAACATTAAATCCTGGTGAGATTAGACACCAGGATTTTTGTCGTCACAGGTGGTTTTCGTTAGATCCAGACCAAGTCTGCTGGAGACGCTTAAAAATTTATTTCATAGTGAGCCAAGATACCAATTATTTCAAATGACTCTGTTAAACACATTGTTAACAAGTTGTTGTCTTCCGAAAAAAAAAACGGTGAATTACAAAACATTCATCATTTTTTGGATATTTAGAGCAAACAGTGCCGCGGGAAAATTTAAGGCAATTCTTTTTGTTTGAGTAGAATTTTTTGTTTGCGATGCTTCGTAATTATGCCACGATGCTTGGTAAAGTTTAACAAAGCTAAGTCTTAAACTGAAGTTTCAATGTCCCAGTCGTTGGTTTTATTAAGAAATATAACAAAAAAATTATGACCTAAATTTTTGTGAAAACAAGCCATTTGTTTGAGTGTGAGCCGAATTGTTTTCATATCTCAATAGAATTTCAAACAAGACAAAACAATTTTTATGCAAGTTGAAACTTTTGAAAATTTTAAAAGCTTTTCATGGTACGAGCCAAGGCTGATCAAGGGTTCTTCGGAAAGGAACGGAGTTTGAGAAAAGTTTTCCAAAACTTGTTGATTTTTTTCATGTCTTCTTTGTCATTTGCGCACGACTTACTTTCGATGCTGCACTCAAACTAATCTATAAATGATGCTTTCATATCAAACGCTTCTGAAAAAAATCTAATCTGATCTATCAGCCAATTCATTTTGGCGTTTATTTGCTTAATCTGAAGTTTCATAGGAAAACTTCACCCACTTATAAAGTTATCCGTCATCTATGTATTCCGATCAACTATTTATCACCATATGAAAAAAATAACCAAAGATGAATTTGATGAACTGTTATGATGTCTTTCTGAAAGGCGTAAACTGTTATAAACTCAAACATCAACAAAACACTTCGGTACAAAATACTATATAAACCTAGCGAAACACACAAAGCACGCTTAAGATACCAAATCCCAAATAAACTCATATAACAGACATAAACTCTCATAACGCACTAAAAATTAAAAACACAAGAAAAGTCATAAGTAACAAATAATATATTTATTTATAAGGTACAATAAAAATCATTAAAATTAGAGGCAAAGCAGAGCTTTGCACAACTTCCAACACAACACAAAGATAAAAAACGTCGTATGCCTCATTGAAGTTCATTTTAGGCAAACATGCAATTACAGGGTTCGTAATTACAAACTTTGCAAAGTTTTTTATTCAAGTGTTTTTAAAATTTTGTAAAGTTTTATTTTGTAAAGTTCATCGAAAAATTTAAAATGAACTAAGAAACGTCACATCAAGGAAAACTGAAAGCAATTGAGCAGTCGCATTTGGACGCAAGATTTGCAACTCCTGAGAGTACTCTTACAGTACCCAACTACAACGTTGGGAAATTCAAATTTTGAGAAACTTCACCTTAAGTTTTCTATAAAAAAAAGGTATTCACAAGTCGATAACTACCAAAATTTGAGCAGTCTTTTTTGATGGCAATATTCGCAATCTTTGGAAGTACACAACTACAGGGTTGGGAATTTTACTTAAACGAATTATTTTGTAATTTGAGTTTTCTGAAAATTTCCAAAAAAAATCACAAAAAGCGTCGTATCTCTTTAACAAAAATGATTTGGACATTCTTTATTGGAGGCCAAATTTGCAACCCCTGCGATTACTCTGACAGCCCCCCAACTACAGGTTAGGAAATTCAAACTTTGAAAAGAAAATTAATTTAATTTTCATGAAAACTTTTTTGAAAAAATCACAAAAAACGTCATATCTGGAAAACTACAAGGATTTGAGCAGTCAAAATGGGAGGCAAAACTCGCAACTCCTGAGAGTACCCTGACAGAGCCTCACAACAGATATGAAAATTTCAAGTTTTGTGAAATTTTTTGTACCTAAGTTTTCTGAAAAATTTTGAAAAAAAACCTAGAAAAACGTCATACCTCGAAAACTACAAGAATTTGAGCAGCCATATTCAGAGGCAAGATTAGCAACCCACCTGCAAGTACCTCACAGACTCCAATAACAGGATTAAGATCTTCAAACTTTTGGAAATTTTTAACATTGTTTTTTTGAAAATTTCGAAGAAAATCATAAAAAACATCATATCACGAAAACTACAAAGATTTCAGCAGCCAAATTTGGCGGCAAAACTCGCAACACCTGAGAGTACCCTGACAGAGTCTCACTACAGAGATGCTAATTTCAAGTTTTGTGAAATTTTTAATATCTAAGTTTTCTGAAAAATTTTGAAAAATCTCGAAAACTACAAGGAGTTGAGCAGCCATAATCAGAGGCAAGATTCGCAACCCCTGAGAGTACCCTCGCAATATCCAACAACAGGATTGATATCTTCAACTTTTTGGAAATTTTTAAAATCTAATTTTTTGAAAAAACTTTGAAAAAATCATAAAAAACGTCGTAACTCGAAAACTACAAGGATTTGAGAAGTGAGAATTGGAGGCAAGATTTGCAACCTCTGAGAATACCCTGACACCTGACAGCACCCAATTACAGGGTGAGAATTTCAAAAAGCAGGGTGAGAATTACAAATGGTTTCCATGGCTTTTAAAAAAGGTCTTTATAAATAAGTAAAACAATTAATTAAAATTGTTTTGAAACAAATTTGTTTTTTACCAAAAAAGCAGCAACGGGCCCCAACGGGCCGATATTTAATAAATTCCCTGTTTATCGGGCCGCCAACGGGCTCGACTTGAATTATATCGGGCCGGGCCGGGCCTCAATTATGGCGGCCCGTTAACAAGTCTGGATATAGATATAGATAGATAGATAGAAATAGATTACCAAGGAACAAAACTTAAGAATTAACAAAGAGGAAAAAGATTTTTTAAAAAAGTTGACAAAGTTCTGTACGTCTGGATGGAGTCCATTTTAGCCAAAATGCCAGGCAAACTTTTTGAAATACCAGAATAATTGAATAGCCGAAAATTCAAAAGATTACGGCTAAGAAAAGCAATCAGCTTTTTATCGAGTTTATGTGCTATTTTTTCTGTAATTTTTTTGAGCACTTGCAGTTTATGCTAGCAGCATAATCATCTTCAAAATGATACTCCAAATAGTAAACAAATTGAATAAAAAGAAAGAGAAAAAAAGAGAGAGAGAGAGAGAGAGTATGGGGGGGGGTGGATGGTTGGTTGTGATGAGAAGGTAGATGATCCGGGATGGAGTGTTTGATTGATGATCCCACCGGGAGAGACAAAGAGAGAGAAAAAGAAACAGACTAGCTCAGACTTCAGAACAGCACACCTGCACTTTTCCTCGCAA